ATATATTTTTATATATAATATATATAATGAAAAATAATATTATTATTATTATATTAGAACCTCAGTTGAGGTTCCTGTAAGAAATAGGAGTTGAGTAAAGGCAAACATGAAGTTCTGCACCTGGGACCGTACAACCCCATACAGTGGTCCAGCTGCTTGGCTGAGGAGCAATACTGATCCACAGGACTTGGAGTTGCTTGGGAATCAGCAGTGAAGGTTAACTGCTTACTGGGTTATATTAAGAAAAGTGCAGCCAGCAGGTTGAGGGATCATTTCTGTGTAGCACTTGAGACCACATCTGGCATACTGTGTCCAGTTTCGGTCTTCCTAGTACAGGATATGTATATGAGGGTTGCTGTGATGATTAAGGAGTTGAGACCCATCATCTACAAGGGTGGTTAAGAGTGCTGGGTTTATTCAGTCTTAAAAAGAGAAGTCTGAGGAAGGCGATCTTATTGCTGTCTTCAGTTACCTCAAGGGAAGGTGTAGAATAGACTGAGGCAGGCTCTTATTGGGAGTTCATAGTAGAGAAGCGTGAGGTGAGATGAGAGAGCATGCAAATGGTAAAAAGAGTAATCCTGATTAAATACTGGAGGAGGGGGAGAAATCTTCAACAAGAACAATTGAACATTGGAATAGGCTGCCCAGAGAGGTTTTAGTGCCTCCGTTCTTGGAGGTACTCAGAATTCAACTGGGTGAGACCCTGAGCAACCTCAGCTAGCTTTGACACTGGATCTGGCTTTGGCCCTGAGTTGGGCCATGCTTTGAACAGGGAATTGGACAAGTTGACCTCCAGAGATCTCTTCCAGACTGAATTACTCTGTGAATCTGTGCACATAAAAATATTGATTCTTCTCTGTAGGTGTTTTGGAAGAAGTATGCAGAAAAGTTGCACCTAAGTAGCATATGTATTCTCTTTAAGAAATACGAAGTTTAGATATTAAGTCAGTTTTGTAAAATTACTCTGTATTTCTTCTTAGGAACTAGCATTTGATCCATATGAATCATATGCACAAGATATTTTGCGACCTGGTTTTCATGATCATTTTCTAAGTCAATTATCAAAGCCAGGAGCAGCATTTTATTTACAGGTAACTTTTTTTTAAGTAAGCTATATTATTGATAGTACTATTTTAATTACACTATATTGTTGCTTCAATAAATTGATTGCTTTAAGACTGAAGTTTATTTTGTTTCTAGTCAATAGGTGAAGGCTTTAAAGAAGCTGTTCAGTATGTTCTACCCCGGCTGCTCCTTGCCCCTGTTTACCACTGTCTTCATTATTTTGAACTGCTAAAAGTAAGAATGTTGTGTCAATCTAATGTGTTTTTCATAATTCTCAGTGTTGGATACCAGAGCTTTGTGTGCTCAGTTAGGTGTAAAACCTTTTACTAGAATGTGCATAATAAAACTGCTACGATGAAAGAAAAGCAAGTTATATGCTCTGGTGCATGCTATAACTGAATATCAGCTTGTAATTTCATGGAAGTTTTACAACAGCTAATGATTTATGTTGAATAATCAAGTTACTATCAATTTAGAAAGTAATAGAGATCTAGGTACTCATGTTCTTGGAATGATTGTTTCAATGGTGGTAAGAGATAATGGCAAATGGCTGTATTACAGAAAACGTCCAAGGCTTTCTCAAGCTGTTACTTTGTAAATGTAAAATCACAGTAAGATTTCCCTTCAGACTTTATTTTCATAAAAGCTTCACTGTTCTTGCAAGTGCACATCCTATAGTGGTTGTAACTGTGATATCCTTCTGCCAAAGGGAAGGCTTCATTGATATATACGCTCTTGGGCATTTTGTAATGAGACCTCACATCAGTAGGGTAAGAGTAAAGACTCTTAACATGTAAAGAAAATAGCTACAGAATGTTTTTCTGGGACACTTATCAGTTAACATTGCATAGTAATCTTTAAGGAGTGTAGAGCATTTTGAGGAAAGCTTTCAAGTAGAATCTTCATTTAGACTTAATGGAAACTCATAAGGCATACAGTGTTCCAAACTTAATTACTTGGGGAAATTTGGATCAGAAGTAAAAAATAAAATTAAAAATCTCTGCTCTTTTGAAGAAATGTGGGTGTGATTTTCTAAAATGGTTGTTTTGTTGTCCAATAGTTAGACTCAAAGATTACTTAAATGTCTACAGTTGTTATTGATTTAGATCTGCATGTACAGCTTTGGCACATAGCTCATCTTGTATGACTTTTTTTTTTTTTTAATTTTGGAATGTATACTTCATCTGCTTGTCAATCTAAGGGGGTTGGTCTGACTTTTCAGACATCTTTAACATATTAAGTATTTCCTTTCATGGCAGTTCGTTGTAAGGGACGTGTGATACAGCTTGTCTGCATTTTGTATGATAAAGACCTGCACAGACATAATGTTTCTCTGCTTGCATTGTTCACACACAGTCTCAAAATGCAGTACCTAGTGGCTTTGCATACTTCCGTGTGAACATGGTATGGTCTTACTTAATAGACAAAACATGAAGGGTTAATGTCATCTGACACATGGGCATTTGCATTGCTTCTTGCCACTGATAATTTTAGTGGGGGAAAGAGGGCATGTGTGCTTATGCAAATAGGGAGAAGCTCATGTTTGCCTTTTTTAGGGCAAACTGGAGTCTACCTCCAGAATGTTACCAATCTTTGCAAGTCCTGACCTTTGCTTTGCCTAAGATTCTTGTCTTTTCTCACTCATGCTCCATACTGATACACACCCTGCTCCCTGTGTAAATCTGATATTGTTGGGTTGGATTTTGTTCTGTATACGATAACCTTCCAGGTGTTCTTCACACTGTGTTGCTTATCTCGCATTTTAGTGAGATGCCTGTTGCTGTGGTCTGTCAGATGCAATACATGTAATAGGCAGTGATGGATAATAGGAGCACATGAGAGAGATATTAGCTCTCATGGCACTAGCTTCATCTGTCAATTAGTACATACATATGCACACAGCATATGAATCCCTCCGTCAAATAGTCTCTGCAGGCAATAACAGTTTCTTTCTAATATATCTGGAATCTTCAGACAGATTCTAGCTTGGTTATACTTAAAAATGGCCTGATGGGAGGATATTGATAGAATTATTTAGCCATATAAACCTGACGCTTTCACCAATGCAAGTTTGTATTGAATTCTTTTGTGTGGTAAAAGACCTGATTTAGTGATTGCAGGCATATCTATGAATAGTCAAGTTTAAAATGCTATGAAAATGGATCTCTTGTTATGTGTTGGCAAAGCAGTACGTGGAAAAACCAATATAGACATAGTTAAGGATAAAGGGGTTAGCGTTTTTTTGAGCTGTGTTGTGTAATCTTGCATACTTTGAAGTGATCTATTTCAAATGCATCTCAAAGTTACCTATGCAGACTACAAAAAAAGCAAATTTCTATCCACCGATGGTTATCCTGTTTAGAAACTAAAGCTCTCTTGAAGTTTGGCAGGGCACTAGGAGCACACAAACACGTATTCTATTTTTAGCTGAAGCTCCCTGCTGTACCTTTGTTGGAAAAATAGCATATGACTAAGGGCTGTGTTTTCCTTCAACCAACCTGAAAGTCCCCGTAAGAAACTTAACTATATAAAATAGCACCTTCATGTGAGACTGCTTTTCCGCAAGTTTTGCAGATAACATAAATGGGATTTTGTAAATGTGGACTCTTAAGTGAAAGGTAGGGTGGTACAAATAGTGCAGTTATAAATAACCTTGGGTTATTGAAGAAAGAAGTTTACAAGACTTTTAAAATTAATTCGGCATTGTTTCAGGTGCTTTAAATTTGTGTGCCTGTGTGATACACTGTGGGTAAACAGAAGATTACTTTAAAATTCCTTTTTTTCCAAGTAGGAATGGCTCAAAGCATATATAAACTTCACTTAGATGAAACAATGTTCTGTAAAACATGAGAGCTAGATAGACTCTTTTTTTTTTTTTTAAACCAAGTGTGGGCTTGGCTCCCATGACTGAAGAATGGAAACTTCTTGTCTCTTTGCAAGTTATTTTTTAGTTGGAATTCTACCTATAATCTCAAATTCTCAGGATGCTTTCACTTCACAACAGCATCTAGTGTGTTTTATTTATTTTTTCAAACTTTGTTCTTAGATGATAAATAACTTACCAGACTTTACTGACTGGCAGTTCAGCTCGAGTAGAAATACTCCTCAATTAAACTTTATTTGTATTCCTCTTTCACTATGCTAATGTAACTTAAAAAAAAAAAAAATCTGGTTTGACAAGGTCTTCCAAGATAAGAAACCACCCTTTTCCCAACCTGATGGTATTAGATTTGTTACATGTTGCTGGAGAAGGCACAGGGTGGTGAAATATTAGCAGTTTAGGACTAGAGTATCCTTATGTTGATCCTGTGAGACTTTGCTGTGTGTTGTGTTGGGCAACACATCCCAAATTATTTTGGGCTTTGACATCACTTTGATTCTCAGCCTTGTTTTAGCCAGACTTACGATCCAGAGTGTAATAAATGTAATGAAGCTGGTTTGCGATCCCATCCGTAACTGGTGTAACCCAGCCCAGGGTGGACAATCATTGAGTCTTAATTAGATGAACTTTGGCAGTCTACAAAGTTTTTACAATATCTGCAATTATAAATCATTGTCTCAAAACACTGTCCGCATTGCTTATATTTAGTACAGGCCTTGTAATTAACAGGTTTTCTTGCTTTAGTCAATTCTTAGTCTCCTTCAATTAATATTAAAAACAGAAAATCACAGATTCAGACTGGCTATGAGTTATTATAAGAAAGTATTTACTTAGTGTCAGCAAAGGATATTTTCCAAAATCACTTTTAAATTTAATTGGGCACTGTTTCAGGTGCTGTAAATTAGTGTGCATGTGTGATACACTTTCCTTTCTTTGGGTAAACAGAAGATTACTTTAAAATTCCTTAAAATTATTTTCCAAAATCATTGGTGTGCTTTTTTCCAAACATGGTAACTTTTATTTCAAAACAGTATTGTACATACATGTAAAAGGAGGAGTGTTACTGTTTTACATGTATTTGTATATGTAACTGCAGAGGAGGATTACTTTTTTTACATCCACTGGACATAATGTGCAATTTTATGTCTCTGTGACAGATGAATGCCTGTCTGCTGGAGGAAATGTAGCTTGACCAAACTGTTGCTAGTGTGTGCTAAGGACTGCAAAGTGTATTTGAGTGATTCTTGGGAGAAAAAGCTGGTGTGATCTAAAAATTGGTATCAAGTCTAAGAAGGGATTTCCTAGAATATGACAATAGGTAAAAAATTTAAGCAACTTCTTCATATGGTTAAGCTATGAAGACTTATATTACAACTGCAGTGTTGTAAAGGTACAGAAGTTGTGCCTTATGGTAGAAATTGAAGATGATACAGCCAGGTAAATGAGGTTCCATATTTCTTTGTTGCTTGTGTGGTTCATTGACAATATTTCTCTTGCATTTCTCCTTTAAATGCTAATGGGCTTATGCTTTGTCAGCTGTGTGCTTGGCAGCCAAAGGGAACATGATAGGGGAAAATAAAACCTTGTCACACCTGTGTGTGTGCACTTTTTCCACAAACTTTGTTATTGTTAATCTAACTAATTTGGCTCTTTGAGGTGACTCTTTAATTGAAAAAGTTATTCAGAATATATTTAATTTTTTTCTTTCCAGCTGTAGTACTCATTGGATTTCCTATGTGTTTGTCAGAGAGAGAGATATGCACATGTGTATCACTTCATTTGTCAATGACTTAATGTCATCTGTTACGGAGTTGTGATGGGGCTGTATGTTCTGTTGTATAGGGTTATTCTTTTTACACAGGATGTATCTGAGCTTTTGAGAAGCAGATATTTCTTTCCAGGGAATTTTCTGATGAGAAGCTATTACCTTGGAGAATATTTTTTCCATTATCCCACTACAATTGTTTTTCTGCAAAAGCTGGATAAAATCTAACAAAAGTAAAAGTAAAAAAATTGCTCTTTCCACTTTGCTTACAGTCCTCAGTGACACTTGAGCTCTGTTATTGTCAATCTGCTGCTGCACCAACAAATGATGTACTTTGATCCCTTGAAGCAGGGAGTAGGATGGCACAGGGCCAGATTGTTCTTATCTAGATGATGCCCTCTTTGGGGAGTCAAATGAAGCACTAACTGAACTCCAACTTTTGACTTTAATTATGTGTTTAACTGAAGGTTCCAGAGTACTGTTTTCTCATCGATTTTTCTAGCAATGTCTGCAGGGCAAATTCTCCCCAGTACTATGGGAATTAGGAGAGCTGTACTGGGGCAGACTGTTCTCTGGGGCTGGTGGTCT